TCTTTTTTTTTTTTGAATTGGGGATTTTAATCCCCAACCTTTCAGTCCATGATTTATGTGGGAGCTATGATCAGTTCACAATTTAATTTTTTTTTAATACATGTAAGAGTGAGAAATCGAACTCACAATCTCTTGATTAGAGATATAGACTAATTACTGTTGAGCTATGTTTGCCGATATATGCTAATTACTGCTGAGTTATGTTTGTGACAGATTGGTGACTCAATTATTGTTAGAAAAATTATAAAATTAATAGTTAGTTAGATAGATATATTGTCTAACCGTGCTCCACTTATACATTCAAACTATGTAGTTTGAATAAAAAAAGAATTACAAAAATATCACCAAACTACAAATAAAATATTAGGTTTAAAATTTCAAAAAAATGACATAAATTACAAACTTAATAATCACACGAGACCAATCAAAAATTATTTTATAAATACATATTTGTTTTCAACCTAATCAAATTTATAGTAAAATACTAACAACTTCAAAGAAAACGTAAAAATTAATGTCCATGGGTAGGAGTAACAATAATAATATTTAAAATATAGAGATGTGATGGTATATATTTTTCTTGAATAATTGATCCTTTTTAACTCCTTTTTTTCTATTTTAAATCTAGTCCAAGCGAGCGCTCAATGGTAATTAATATATATCTCTATTAAGAGAACAAAAACGATCTGAAATGAGATAAAAAATTGAAGTACGAGATCATCGATTGGGGAAGACCGGCCCGCGACGTAACGGGCCGGCCCAAAGGACGACCTAGCGCCAAGGCCGTCACAGCGTCGAGGCGCTGACCCTACCTCGGCGTCGAGACCTCCTCAGCGCCGAGGTGCCTACTTCTCACCTTCGCCTTCGGGCCAAGGTACCATTTGGGCCTCCTCCGCTCGGATCTACATCAGGAGTTTAAACACACCTATTCGGGGCTGAGGCCGATCATTGGGCCTTGCAACTCCGAATTAAGGCTCAACCACAGAAGGTTCTGGAACCACACTCAAATAGCAGTGCAGCCTAACCCTATGGAGGTAAGGGACATATCTCTAGCTCACTATTTTCTCAACTCTCCCTCGCTAACTTAGGCATCGGAGCCCGTGTGACTGAGGTCGCACCGGTTTATATCGGTTTAGTTTTGCAGGTATCGGTTTCCATATCATCGAGTTAGGTGTGTGCAAGATGAAGAACGGGAAGGTCAAAATCCACGCATCAACAATTGGCGCCATTTGTGGGGACGATACATCAAAGCAAGCTTCGTTGAAGCGAAATCCCGATCCGAGGCGTGTAGAGTGAAGCGACCGACCACTCGGGTAAGGTAGGACCGAGCCCTGATCATCGACCTCATTCGAA